CATATCTTTTGCTATAGATCCATCTTATGGCAACTTCAATTCAGAAACGCTGAACCCCTACGCCCCTAAACCCCTCATCCCAAAACCCTAAACCCTCAATCCTAATCCCTGAACAGTTAGCAAGAACCCAGAAGGTTTTGACCTCGGGTTGCTCGGAGCAAGCAACGACCCGTACATCGCCACGGCACTACCGGCAGTCCGAGATATGTCTTTAGGGCCCCAAATCAGCGACATGAGCAATAATTAGAATAGTAAGGAGCCCAATAAGATAGGGATGTCCTATATGCGTCCCCTTAGCATGGAGCCCGTACAATGAGGTAGGGATATCCTTGTAAACTGCGTATGCTTCTGTCCTGTTTGGGGCCCATAGTTTCAGTTTGTATTGCGTGCAACATTTCGTGACGCAGAGGAACCATGCTGGCCAGGACCAACCCAGCGTCATATGTATGTTATGCATATATGCACCAAGAACTTGTAAGTATACGTGAACAACATCTATATCTATGTATATGTATATATATATATATATATGGAAATCATCATCATCATATATATATATATATATACATACATATATATCTGTATATATATATATACATATCACTATACGCATAAATGCAAGGTACGTGAATAAATACATGAATAAACACAAGAGTAATGTATCTACTTACCTATAGATGTATAACACAATACCTACACCTATCGACCGACTGAGTTGTAAGCAAACAGGCGAGCAAGCAGAAGGCACACACACACACACACAACAAACGCGCGCACAAGCTGGCGCACAGACAGACACAGACAGACACAAACATACACACACATACACACACACTCACACACACGCAAGCAGAAGCATGCAAACAGGAGATTTCTCCAACCCGTTGCCAAGGTCTGGCCCAGGTTTCCAAAGTCACCGTTCCCATCTGTTCCCCAAATGCCCGATCCGCCCGTGACTGTCTCGAGAGAAATGTTCGCAGGATTCTGCTCTCGATGTCTGACCTTGCTCACCCAACCCTGAACTGCAGCCCTGAAAAGTGACTTGTGAATTTGCAAGCAAACCATTCCTACAATTCCGAAAGAAGAGGTATGCCGAACCTTGCGATTCCTCGAGACCGTACCCGAGCTCGAACAAGAGCAATGCTTGCTCGAACAAGAGCAATGCTGAATTCATGGAGATAAGACCCGAGATGGGTCGCGGCTCTGTCTGTCCGCTGGAACCGAGAGGGTTAGAGGGAGCCAAAAGGGCGTTTGGTCTTAGAGGTTTGTTTTAGGGCTTTGGAGTGGTTGCAAAACGATTTAGCTGGTAGTTTTATTGGTGTTCAACAGGTTTTCTATACGTTGGCCTCTTCAGAACAGCTTCTATAAGGGCTCGAAGAAGGACAGAACAAAAACAAAATCGTCTGGAAACGACAGCAAAACATGTTCCAGGGCCAACGGCAGCGGGCAGGAGCCAAGAGGGGCAAAAACAAACAAAATAAGTACCATCCTGGCCGGTGTTAGGGTTCAGGGGTGCGTAGAAGGAAACCCACACCAAAAGTGTCCGCCACTGTTGCTTATTCATGGCACAGGTATTCTGAAGGATTTCGGGTATATAGTCAGACATACATATGAGTTATATATGCATACGTATTGTATACATACAAACTCACTTACATGTTCTCTCTGCATATATATATATAGCATGTTATGCAAGTTATATCTGTATATGCACATCTACTAGTAGTATGTAATAAGGCTGTGTACTATACTGTATCATCCTGTACCATACCATACACTACCAACTATACTATACTATACTATACTATACTATACTATACTATACTATACTATACTATACTATACCATACTATACTATACTATAGCATACTGTTTACCGTACTGTACTGTACTATACTATACTTTGCTATACCATCCCATACTATACTATACCATATACGGAAAGCTATGTACTATATACGATATACTTTATGTACTATACTATATACTATACTCCGACTATTGGATACTGCATAATAATCTACAGAGTTTTTTCTACACCGTAATTCATTATAATGCAATATATTACAACAGAGTATAACACTGTTAATAAATTATACTATGTTATCATCTAACTTTACTTTGTGAAAACACATGTGGTCAGTAAAGCCCTAGAAGGTTTGAGATTCAGGCTCTAAGCTCGCGTATAAAGCCGCTCATTAGGGTTTAGGGTCTACCCATAAGCCCCATAGTAGTTCCTTTTTGGGATTACCTTGTAGGATTCTAAATATGAACCCCCAAAAGGAACTACTATGGGGCCTATGGGTAGGGAATCCTGTTCCAAAGAACTAAAGGGTTTAGGGTTTAGGGTCCCTGAAACAACGAGTCTAAAGCCCTGGGAGTGTTGTGCCCGGGGTCGTGCTTACTAGCGAGGTCTAGGAGTAGCACAAACGTTTATCCTCTGGTGTTTTTCAACGACAACCCTTCACACCCTAAGCCTCAAAGCATAAACAGGTTAAAAGCTTCAAAGCCAGAAGCTTTTCACCCTATCTCTCAACATCCGAGTTTGGCCTTCAACCATGTGCAATACCTCAAACTCGAAGGGAGGAGCAACGAACCCTAAATCCGGAAGCCCTAAACCCTACTAAACCTAGTCGTAGCAGCTGAGTTGGCTATCAACGCCAGGCTTGGCATATAGCATTCAGGTTTTAGGGCTGAGATTTTGCGGTTTAGACTGTCCGTTTTGGGTTTCATCACTCGTGAACTTGGGTTACGTGCCACGCCCGATTTTTGTTTGATGGTGGACGTTTAAGGATCTGTGAAGTTCAGGCTTAAGGGTAGACTCCTTGCAATGGGGCCTACCAAGCCCACCCGCTAGAAACTCCTCGACCCTAAACCCTAAACCCGAGAAGCTCTACACTAAACCCTCAATCCTGAAGCTCGGAGGCGGGCATCCTAAGTCAGAAGCCCAGAGGTTCAGCTGAAGCTGTACCGCCTGATCGGATATTATGGGTGCCTGGCATGTCGAAGCTGGGTTCTTGTTAGGGAATTTAGCGTAAGTTGCCAGACTAAGGAAACCATATCTTTTGCTATAGATCCATCTTTTGGCAACTTCAATTAACCCCTGCGCCCCTAAAGCCCTCATCCCAAAACCCTAAACCCTCAACCCTAATCCCTGAACAGTTAGCAAGAACCCAGAAGGTTTTGACCTCGGGTTGCTCGGAGCAAGCAACGACCCGTACATCGCCACGGCACTACCGGCAGTCCGAGATATGTCTTTAGGGCCCCAAATCAGCGACATGAGCCATAATTAGAATAGTTAGTTATATCCTACATGTTTTCCGTATAATGGAGCCCATTAAGATAGGGATGTCCCATATGCGTCCCCTTAGCATGGAGCCCATACCTCACTGCGTATGCTTATGTCCTGTTTGGGGCCCCATAGTTTCAGGTTGTATTGTGTGCAACATTTCGTGACGCAGAGGAACCATGCTGGCCAGGACCAACCCAGCTTCATATGTATGTTATGCATATATGCACCAAGAACTTAAGTATACATGAAAAACATCTGAATATATAGGGGTGTGTGTGTATATATATATATACAGATTATTATAAGTACAAAAACAAAGGACATGAATAAACACAAGAGTAATGCATCTGCTTACCTATAGATGTATAAAGCAGTAAATACACCTATCGACCGACTGAGTTGCAAGCAAACAGGCTAGCAAGCAGACGGCTCACACACAATAAACGCGCACACAAGCTGGCGCAGAGACACAGACAGACACAAACATATACACACACACACACACACACGCAAGCAGAAGCATGCAAACAGGAGATTTCTCCAACCCGTTGCCAAGGTCTGGCCCAGGTTCCCAAAGTCACTGTTCCCGTCTGCTGTTCCCATCGGTTTCTGGATGCGCTCGTGAGGGCCTGGCGAGAAATGTTCGCAAGATTCTGCTCCCGATGTGTTACCTTGCCCAGTTCAAGCAACGCCAAACCCTAAACCCTAAACCCTAAACCCTAAACCCTAAGCCCTAAACCCTAAACCCCTAACCCATAAACCCTAAACCCAGTTCACCAAGCCCTAAACCCTAACGCTCAACCTTGGACCCTAATCCCGAACCCGGGAGTACCTATAAGGTTTAGGGTTTCGGGATTTAGGGTTTAGGGTTTAGGGTTTAGGGTTTAGGGTTCGGGATTTAGGGCTTAGGTTTTCGGGGAGTACTTATGGAGCTGATAAGGCTAAGCCCTAGACTGTTCCGTGTCTTTACACTGAGAGTCAGTACGCAGACCGCTGATCCGCTACGGCATCCTGGAGATTCTAAGACCAAAACGTGTAAAACCCAGCTTTTTACGGCTCCTTCTTCTGGTTTACTCTTACAAACCCCTCTTAAGTAGGGTTGCTTTTTGGGAGACGACAGGCACACCCAGAATGCTTGGACCCTTGAGCCGTGAAGCCCAAGCTTTCCGTACTCCGTAAGTCCGTAAGCCCTGCCGGCAGATCGCCTACAGCCACATCTGTTTGCTCGTGACTTCGGCACCAAGTTCAGTAGGGGCCTGTCGTTGAGGGTTTGAGGGATTCAGGGTTTAGGGTCGAGGGTTTNNGGGTTTAGGGTTCAGGGTGTGGGGCTGTGATTTGCACCGAAACTTCGAGGTTTTCGGCGTAAGCCCTAGAGCCTATAACTCCTATTGCAAGGGGCTCGTGTCGGATCCGCCGCTGCTGCTTGAGGAAACTTCCCTAAACCCCAAACCTTAAACC